TGACGAAATTGGCTCTAAGACCTCCAAATCCAAGCTTCTCTCTCTTCTTCCCTATGTATTTTTTCTTTTCCTTTTCTCCAATCAAAGGAATGAAATCAGATTAACAATGGATTTTTAAAGTGGATTTGAATATTTATATAAAATATTTTGCTTAGCACCGTGACGTCAAAGCTCCAGCACCATAGCGCCCCCGAGCGCCAAATTTTCTTCCTAAAAATGAAGAAATGAGCATTGCGGTGTCACATGAGGGAAGGGGTGTCACCAATTAGTGTATGGGCTTACTACTACCCTCAAATTCAGAATGATAAAATTGTGAAGTTGATCCGAGAGATGTTGGAGGCAGGGATCATCAGGCCGAGTGTTAGTCCTTTTTCTAGCTCAGTCTTATTGGTCAAGAAGAAGGATAGGAGCTGGAGATTCTATGTGGATTATTGGGCCCTGAATAAATAGATTATGTAGGACAAATTTCTCATCCCGATGATCTATGAGCTACTAGATGATCTGTGTGGAGCAATGGTGTTCACCAAGATGGATTTGAAGTTGAGATCAGGATGAGAGAGGATGATGTCCCGAAGACTACTTTTAATACACACGAGGGGCACTACGAGTTCTTAGTATTGCCGTTCGGCCTCACCAATGCTCATGCTACTTTCTAGTCACATATGAATAGGGTCTTCAACCATACCTCCGAAAGTTTATACTTAATTTTTAGACATCCTAGTGTACAACATGTTAGAGGAGGAGCATCTGGAGCACTTGAGGGTGGTCTTAGGGGTGTTACAGGAGCAAAAGTTGAGGGCTAACCTGACGAAGTGTTATTTTCCAAAGGCTAATGTGGAGTACTTATGGCATGTGGTATCTCAGGAGGGAGTAGCTGTTGATCAAGCCAAGATTAAAGCAATATTGAAATGAACTCTACCAAGGAATCTGAGAGAGCTGAGGGGCTTCCTAGGATTGATGGGATATTAAAAGAGATTTGTGAGAGGGTATAGTACCATAGCCTAGCCACTAACAAAGCTATTGAAAAAAAAAAGACAACTTGTAGGGGGAGACAGCTACCCAGGCATTTGAGAGGTTGAAGAAGACCATGAACATGTGATGTAGAACTACGTATGGATGCAATGCTTTTGATTAAGATTATGCACAACTCTTGATTAGAGAAATAACTATTAACAATTTAAAATAATGGAATAAAACAAAAAAGGGGTCACGCCCGCTTAGGCTAAGTCACATAACCAGAGATTTGAAACTTCAAAATAAATTAGAAAACAACATCATGCCAAAACAGTAGTTTCAATAAAAATCCCTAGTCTAATAGTGAGATTAGCAAGCACATGAATACACTCAAAAACTTTACGTTTACTAAGTTCAGCAGAAGGAGGCGACGGTCGGCTTTCGTGACTACAATCAATATCACAAGAAAAATTAGATTTAGAAAACACAAGTAGAGATTAGGAAACCTTCGTCAGGGATCAGTAGCAATCCTCCACTCGACGATTTCCAATTGTTCTTTGATGGCTTCCACCAATGTATCCAAGATCCGCTCGATGTAATCTTCTACCGTGTGGTCGACTTTCGGGTTGACATCGAAGAAGGTTGAATGTAAGATGCACACAAACCTGTGTTCATCGTAGCTTAGGCCGTATTCAGTTTTCGGATCCGCCATTCATAGATGCTCAAGGATGATCTCTTCCAAAGGGTGTTAGCAATCTCGAACGTTGTTGAAGAGAATGAAGTTTCTCTTCAACCTGTAGTGGGACGGCAAGGTGTGGTCAGCCAAGGGAAAGGAAGAGGAGTGGTAGATCAAGTGGGGAAACACAAGTAGAAAATCTGAAATAGATTTCAGATTCTCAATGGGAGGGATTTAGGAATTATTCCCACTTTAATTCCAAGAGAAGAGGCTTTAATTTAAGAAAGAAATCAAGAGGTGGGGGATGAGGGGGTTCGGCCAAGCAAAGGGAGGGAGCAAGTGTCTAGGTGCAATGTATTTTGGAATAAGGGATTTAATTTAATCAATCTATCATGAGTTGATTGATTGATTTAAATTAGGACCCTTTCAAAAAGAATTAAGAGGAAATAGGAAAGATTTGAAATCTAGATTGGATTTAATTTCAAATTCAAATACTTTCCAAAAACAATTGGAATTAAATAGGGAAGGATGGAGGAGTTTGGAAATAAATCCAAGTGGATTTATTGGAGGAGGGCCGGCGGCATCATGAGGGTGGGAGGGAATTGGGGCTTCCTATTTTGGGTTTATGAATTAGGAAGGGATTAAATTAACTCAATTTAAATTTGAAATTCAAATAGGGTTAATTTAGAAACTTGCCTAAAATAGACTTGATAATTTTAGAAAGATTTTAAATTTCAAATTGATTAGATTTGAATTCAAAATCTACCCCAATTATCCCAATCCAAATTAGGCAATGGAAATCTAAGGGGAAGGAGGCTAGGGCTAGTGGGGGAAAATTTGTGGAGCTCGGTTGGGAAGAAACGATGGCTTGGAGATGGAGATGGTTTGGATGTAATGATGTCCGATAGTGGTGGTGGAAGGGGAAAGGAAAAAGATAAGGAATAAAACCACGAACCCGACCGTCTCCAAGGTTGGTGGGTGATCCGATCTCCCTCTCCTAGAGATTTCTCTCCAATCAAACTCTCAATCTCTTATAAGAACTCATGCAAGGAATAAATTTTAATCAATCATTCATTACCTCAAACAACAAAACAATGTGCTATAAATAGCCTAGTACATGAGATTAAAGAAATAAAAAGACGAAGATACCCTCGGGGCTTACATACGACATCCCTTTACTAGAAGGGTACAACGGAAAATAAAATAATAGAAAATAAACAAAATACAATGACACATAATTAAAACAATACATGATATAAATCAAAAGTACAATGACTCGATCGTGGCCGTAGATCAGCGGCCACGCCTCTGATAAACCTTCCAAGATCTGATGTCCCCATCAACATGACACCAGTCCTAACATGAACTGATTTTAACCAGATTTTCATGGTAGAGATGGATACATCCGGGTATGAATTGGGGGCAGTGCTTATGCAGAATCATAGACCCATAGCCTACTTCAACCGAGTGTTGACAGCCAGGATTAGAGCATTAGAGGTGGTTGTCAAAGCTGTTGGGCTATGACTTTGAGATCCAATACCGGTCAGGATTAGAGAACAAGGCTACATATATCTTATCCAGATGTATGGGGGAGCTCCATGAAATGGTCATTTCAGTACCACTGATGGTGGATTTAGAGGCTATCAAAGAGGAAAGTGTGCAAGACGATGAGTTAAGGAAGATTAGGATGGCTCTATTGAGGGATGAGAGTAGCCACCCTGACATAGGAATAACATCCAGTTCAAAGTGGGGATACGGTGTTCTTAAAATTGCGACCCTACATACAGAAGACGGTCACCAACAGGAGGAATGAGAAGCTTGCACCAAGGTACTTTGGCCCATATGAGTATTAGAAAGAATTAGAGCAATGGCGTATCGCTTGAGATTACCATTGACCGCTACTAGACATCCAGTGTTCTACCTGTCACAACTGAGGAGAGCTATTAGATATCATGTAGCTAGTTCAAAGTTGTCGGTGACCCTGACTGAAGATTTGGAGGTGGGGTTGGAACCACTAGAGCTGAAAAAAGTATAATAAGGAGAAGGAGGAATCAAGGAAGTGCTGATTAAATGGAAGAACCTACCCGACTATGACACCACATGGAAGCCGTACGAGATGGTGAAGTATCAGTTCCCGTTTTTTCACCTTGAGAACAAGGTTGGTCTTTAGGAAGGGGGTATTGTTAGACCGGTCCCTGAACCTAGACCAGTCCAGGTCTATAGAAGAAGGCCGACTACTTCCGCCTCCATAGGAGTTCGGCCCCTTTGGGAGTGCATTAATGTAGTAATAAAGAGGGGGGTTAGGGGGGAAATTCAAATTAATGGGGTTGTTTGGGTATTTTATTATTTTTGTGTTGCTTTAAGTAAGCTTGTAAGCCCAGGATTGGGGATTATCTCTGATTTTGCTAAAGTTAGGAGTTTTCTAATATTTGTTTGGGCTCTGGCCGCCTACTACGAATTGGGAGAGTCAGATATTCCTCTCGAATTGGAGATCCATTGTACCTTGTTTTTTTTTTTTTTTTTTTCATCTACTAACAATTGAAGATTTTCTCTTTTGTTATTCAACCAATATAGTCTAAATTGTTGTTTTACAAGTTGCTGGAATTAAATTTCAGCAAGGTTCTATTTGCTTCTATTTCTCAAGTGTTTCCTATCAATATCTTGAACATATCAAATATTTCTATTGTATAGAATACTATAAAATAGTTAATGCACTCCCATCTGCAATGAGCATATTTCCATCTTCCAACTTGACATGCATTATCACAAAAAGAATTTTTAATTTATTTAATGAAATGGATATATTTTTAATAAATCGTTAAAAGTGTGCATGATGAAACCTTTCATCCATAGAAATTAACTTAAAGATAATTTCAAAGCATATTCTCAGAAGTTGTGGATATAATTTCTCACGAGCGAATTTAAGATCATGCTGGCAAACATAAAATTTTAGGATAAATGGCTCTAAAGTCCTATCGTTTTCAAATAATACGCAGTAGTTATTTGTAGAAGTGTGTGTGTATATATATTTTTACTGAGAAGGACAACAATTCAGTTCTAAACAAAACATAGAATCTAGATTCCAAAAATGAACGAATAGAATAATTTAAAAAAATGTAAATACAATTCTTCTATATTTGGCACAAATCATTTGAAGAGAATGCATATTAAAACAATGTAATTCAAATAGTTAATCAACAAAAGATTATGACTTATGCATTAATACCATGTACATGAATTCGTAAGGCACAGTGCATAAAGATGATATGTTCCAACAGATCCAACTATATTCCTCAAACCATGTAAGTCGGACCTATCAATAGTTGTGATGTGAATGAAATGGAGATAAGGGGAGGAGATGATAGATTACTGATGGGCACTTGAGGGTTCTTCAAGGCCTTCTTGCCATCAAATTGCGCATTTAACCGGTCCGGCCGCTGCCATCTTTGACATAATATTCGAAACGAAACTTTTCTACGCGCCGAGAAATAACGCCGCCCCACCCCGCCGGGCCCGCCGGCCACATGCAGCGAGCACGGAATGCTACTCGCTCTTTGGTGCTGTCCAAGCAAGCTGCTTCGTCCTCCGAGTAAACGCTGGATCGCCGGGCTGACCCAGAGATCCGGCCAGCCCTAAATAACGTCTATGCGGAGAAATAAATAAGATTTTAATTGACTTGTTAACTCGATTTTATCCCAAAAAAAAATCATATGTTTAATATTATTTTTGTTAATTTTTTATTTTTTGTTATAATCTTCTTATTTTTAATCAATTAATTTAAAATCAATAGTTAAAATTTTAAAAAATGTTTTTTTTAATTAAAACAAATTATCGGGTCAAATTTAGGTTGTTAGCGGGTCAAGTTCAGGCCCATCTCTTTGACCCGTTTATTAAATGGTTTGTATTAGAGTTGATTAGATTTGAGTCTGGCCAATTTCAGATCTAGCTTGAATCGAATATGTTGACCCGTTTTGACACACTAGTCCACAATGATGAAATCAACAGAGTAGTGCCTTTTTAATCTAATTTTTGTTTTAACAAATTTTTACAATTGCACTGCTAATTTTCATTTGAAATCAAATAGATAAGAATTTTTTAGAAAAAATTTACCAAAAGCCTTATCATTTATCATAATTTTTTTGTGCACTGCCAATATTCACATTTAGTTTTGAGTAATGATATATATGATTTTAGTTAAGTGCATTTAAATCAATAATAATAATATAATAATGTTCAATAATCTTTATACTCATAGTATGCATGTAGTATGCTAAAAATATATGTTTATCTAAATAAAATAATTAAATATATGCATATCATATATTTCATATCGAAATATATGTATTGACTCTTGATTATTTTATATTCAATATTATACTACTCATTTTAAATAAAATAACATATAAAGAAAATCACTTGGTTAAAATTTAATATTAACTAGTCAAAATGCTTGGGTTAATTTTATTAAATTTTAATAATATTATTATTTATTTTGTCATTTGATTTGACCTCATTTAGACTGATCAAATTAGTGAACCGTGAACCTCTCCTTCTTCTGGTTCGTTGTTCCGTCCGATTTTCACAACTTTGATATTTTGTGACGAAAACTCAATAGGATGACATTCTGGACGAGTTGAATGTACGGAAGAAGAGAAGTTCATGATGGATGCTCTCTAGTGACAGGATCAATATTACCATTTACCAACTATGTGTAAAGGAGAAAATATATTCAAACCTTGGTTTCAAAAAGGTTTGAACAAAGCTTCAAATCAGTTCGAATCAATTGTATGAACTTCAATAAATAATCTGCTTATAAAATACAGGGTACTTTCATTTGAAATGAACTTCAAAGTATATTTTTGCAACTCATCTAGATCTGTTGGTTGGGTGTTTAGGCTACCAACCAAAATGTATTGGATTCAAAGCTTTCAAATTTGAATAGATCATTTTTCTTAAGAAGATGCTTATTTTTAGGAGTTGATTATCCTCAATTTTCACTTTTGCCCAATTATAAAAAAAGAATGCTAGCTTTGAGCTGAAAGTGACCCGAAAACCCGATTTTGACCCGAAAGTGGCCTGATTTTGACCCGAAAACCCGATTTTGACCCGGCAACCCAATTTTGACCCGTTTTTTACCCGAAAAGAGGAGATTGACCCGTTTTTGACCCGAAAATTAGCCATTTTCTTGTTGGAAACGGGACATTCAGGTCGTGTCGGGTTGACCCGAATCCGAAGCGGGTCTGGTTCGGGTCAGGAAAACTGACTCGTTTTTAAAAACGGGTCGGGTTCGGGTTGACCCGAATAGTGCCGGGTCAGTTTCGGGTTCGACCCGAACCCGACCCGTGACCCAAAATTGACACCCCTACTAGCTCATAATTTCCATATTCTTGTCTAATCATATTTTTATAATATAAATTTAGTTGTATTATCTTATTAGTTGTTTGTCTTATTCTCAAAAAATATCAATCTAATTTTTGCTCATTTAATTATTTATACTATAATTTACTTATTTAGAAATTTACCAATCATTAAAAAAAAAAGCTGATTTAACATACTATGAGGTATAAAAATTAATTAATTTTTTTCTTTGAATATTACTCTGAAGATAAATATATTAGGGATAGTACTGAGTTGATCCTAAAATTGTGTATGGGGGGAGCACTTCAACGGCATCTAATTCCTTTCGTTCTTTGCAAAACCAGAAGAATCAAAGCAAACTATTTTGCTCGCACATTATCTTCCATTTCCACCAAAAGCTCTTCAAAATCATCCCTTTCGTCCCCCTTCTCACTCCTCAGCCATGGCCGCTGCTGTTCCAAGCTTCCTCCCCCTCTCCCTCGACTCCTCCCTCCGCCCAATGCTCATCTCCTCCTCGTCCGTCTTAATTAACCGTTCCCGCTCCCCTTCCCTCTCCTTCTCCTCCACCCGCTCTGCAGCAGGCGCTATTGAAGCCTCCTCCCCCGGCCGCGTTGTCTTCCTAGACGACCTCGGCCTCTACCGCCTCCAAACAATTGACAAGTACAAAAGAGAAGGTCCCCTCGGTGGCGGCTGGCTCGAGATACGCCCCATGGAGGACGGGGAGATTGATCCCATCATCCAGCTCCTTTCAGAATCCTTCATCGAGTCCATGGGCATGCCGCCGCGGTACGTCCCGCTTTTGACCTTCATCGTGCGCCAGTACGTAATGGGCCGCAGGCTTCTGTTACCCCACGCCGTGATGCTTGTAGGATTCTATAGGGATGATGGGAAGGAGCCGGAGCTTGCGTGCACAGCAGAGATTTCGTTTGATACTTTCGGCGCCAATGTCGCCCCGCCAACGCCGTTGCCGCCAAAGGACTGCCCGTATATTTGTAACATGGCAGTCAAGAAGGACCTCCGGAGGTATATAATTCTTCCTTTCTTCTTCATTCGTTTTGATTTATGTTTCTTGGTTCATTCATTTTCTGGTAATTGTGAATATTTTTGTCTGTCGTGGAGAGTTTGTCTTGTGGATTTGGTTTCTTATGAAAGAGAAGGTAACCCATTTTTCTCTGTCTTGGGCTTTGGGCAAGGCTCATTGAACATGAATTTTTGATCTTGTGAAATGCTTGATATGATGTGGGTTATGTTGGGGGTAGTGCTATGTAAAAATCGTGGATAATACTGCTCAGAATTGTTGTCCAGCAGGAATGTAAAATGCAAGTAAGCTACGACATGGATTCAAAGTCTTAATTCTCAAGATAGAAACTGGATATAATGCTGGAGAAGAATATAATTGGTATAAATTTTTTATATTTATCTTCGAAGGCAAATATACAATTTTTGGATGATTGAAGACCCTCCTAGAATTAGAGTAGAGAACTCTACATGCCATAGAAATGCCTTTTTAATGCTGCATTGATTAGTTTTAGGTTTTGTTTGGGATGACTTTCATTTTGCTTCAGCTTTCTAGTATAAAAATTTTAATTTTTGTACTAAAAAATTGCTTTATGAAGCAGTAAGAAAGCCGTCCCAAAGGAAGCCTTAATCTTTGGAATAAGTCTTCAGGTTTCTCACGTGCTTGATGATTCTGACCTTTCTAGCATGAGCTTAATTGAGAAATTAGTTAGAGGATGCTAAAAGGCTGCAAACAGGCAATGCTATGTTCTGTCTGAATTTTAAATTACTTCAGGCTTGATTAGTTCGCTTCCATCCTTGGATGTCAAGAGATCAAATCATAAAATAAGCTTCTGAAATGTAGGATTTTGCGTGTGCACATCAATCTCTCCACAGAACTCATGCGGTGAATATGGCATTATTTTTTTCCCATTTTACTTGCTTCAATCTAATTAGATTTGTGGTAGTACTTGCCATTCTTTATTCAACAATATTTTTCTAAACATAGTTTTGTATATCACTTCTCTTGTTCCAATTATCAGGTTTTCTGGTAATTGATGATTCTAAGGGCCTGTTAGTGAAACTTCACATATGTTCCTGTCCTGACTACATTCAGGACTTTATCTTATATTTATGCAGAATAATGTGTAGCAGCTTGATGGAATGTTTGCACGCATGAACTTTCCACAGGCATCTTGAACATGTTCCAATTTGTTTATAAATTTATCTGTCATGATTATTAAACAAATGCAGTTATGCTGATAATCTTTACCTTAAAAGAAATTAAATGAATTTTTTTGTGAAAAATGAAAAAGTCCTATCAGCTAATTGAATTTGAAGGATCAATCCTTCATGAGATACAAAGTAGTATACAAGTGAACATGTTTAAGAGTAAACTTATGGTAAGCTTTCTTGATAACTTGATATTTTTTGTTACTGCACTTCTTTAACGGCTTCATTCTACAGCTCAAGTGTTCCAATTGATGTCACCCTACAAGGCATTCCTATAAGTCTTGAATGAGCTGGTAATGTAATGGTTCCAAGAGAAACCATAAAGTGGAATTTAAATTTTGTTAAAAAGTTAGTGTTGTAGCATGACCTTCTAGATATTTATATTGAATACGTGGGAATGCTGATGAGTACCTGATTGTGCTTCTTGCACATAAAAAAGAGCTATGCTTGTTTTTCATTTCAAGATTAAAGAAAGTGAGTATCGACAAATTGTTGAAGTCAATAAGCCTTTCAATGCAGTAATTGCTTTATTTGTTGGATATAATTGAAAGAGTCAAGTAATTCTGGCACAGTTTTTTCGCATCATTCAGGTATGAAGTTGTTTTTTAAAGTTGTTTAGTCCCTGAAGGATCAGGCTCCTGCCTCTTTAGCTAATAGTTGTGAATTGCAGTATCGTGGAGTTGGTCTTATATCACTCTTTGATAGTTTTTTTTTATAGTTTCATTAATATAGATCAGCCTCCATCTTGGTTGCTTCCCTACTTCTAGTATGTTTAAGTAAATGGGTAGCTGATGGACGTAGTTTGACAATTTTGCTCATTGATTTTCAACATTGCATGTTGTTAGGAAATAATTGAAGATCTGAAGTAAACCCTAACAAGAGAGACAAAAACAGTAATAACGATTCACAAATCCGATGGGAAAACAAGCAAAATAGTAGTTTTTATTGAAGAAATCAAACTAATGGAAGAAATAATAGCAAGATACAATTAATCCTCAATTCGAGAGGAGGATCTATCTCTCTATCACTAGACGCTGTAAGAGCACAAGTTATCAAACTCCAAGAACAAAACAGCCACAATAATCATGCATAACCCTAACCCTAGTCTCTCCTTCCTACTTAAAACATGCAATTAAACTTCTTAAGCAAAATTCCCCTTTAGCCCATGCCGCCCCCTCCCTTTCTATTTGAATTCAATAGTGGGACCCACCCAAATGCTAGGCCGGCAAGCTCAACATGGCGGACCAACTTGTTCCGCCTATTGTACACGTGAGCCTGCTGGACCGGTCTAGCATGGACCTGTCTAATGCGGGTTTATATCGCGCTTTAGATGTTAGTTTTTGTAGCTTAACATAATTAGTTATACTATAAATTGCTATCTTGGATCTCATATTTTCCCTTAGGCTTAGCGTATGTGCTTAATTATGCTAAATTCAGAAACATGGACATCTAATAAAACCTTTCTATGTTGATTATTTTTATTTTTTTGTGCAGTATTTAGTCCAAACATGCATGTTCCATGGCAGGTTGCATTTTTTATTTCGCATTTTCTTTTACCTCTAGGAAAGAAGCAAAATAATATGGATAAAATAACCTATAATGTAATGGATTTGGTGTCCATTAACAATTTAGGCGTGGAATTGGCTTTCAGCTCCTAATGGCTTGTGAGGAGCTCATATCTAAAATGAAGACAAAACATAAAGTATACCTACATTGCAGAGTAATTGATACAGGACCATTGAAGTTGTACAAGAAAGCTGAATACAAAATAGTCAAAACTGATAGCAGATTAGTTTGGCTGACCCTTCAGCGACGGAAGCATTTGCTGGAAAAAGAAGTACATATTGAGCAAGATGAAGCTATTGCAGTCCTTGACAATAATGTAAACCAACAACTCTGGTAATCTGGCCACCACAGGTCCAATTGTAATTTATTTAATTCTGTTATTATGTATGATAGTTTGTACTAAATGAAGTTTTTATACGAACCTGTCTATTGTAAATTAACAAGGATCAATTTGTACAAAACAGAAGTATGAAATTTCTATTTTATTAGCTTCAGCTTCTTAGTCACCATTGAGTCATTTTTTCCCTGGAACTGAGTTGCAGAATATTTTGGATTGATTTTTGAAGAATTGTCTGTCAAGTCTCAAGTTTTCATCACAGGTAGAGCCTGATCCTATCCTTGCCACTTATATAAGCCAAGGAAATAATACAAACGGCAGGTTTTAGTCTTGAAAATATGAGCGTCTCTGTTTGAGATTTGTTAGTATCTTGAATCTTAGGATTCAAGTGGTGGTTCACCAGTCTGAACTGGCGGAGTTGTGGAGCCAGGCTTAGGAGGAGTTTTAGCTGTCGCCGCTGGGTTCAGGGAGTTTAACCGTCGCCTCCGGTCTCAACTATACCTGTAATATAATAGGGTTCTTATCATGGACCTTTTGATATCATGCTAGAATTGATATCTTAACAGGAACATCAGGTTACAAACTAGTTTCTGCTTGTAGGTGCTCAAAAATAATGTTGGCATGCTAGAAAAATATAAGCATTCTGTCTGGACATGGAATTCCTTGATATATGTATTTTTCATTTGACTATATCACAGGCATAAACTAGTGGATTGTAAGTTGATTAAATTTTGCCATGTATGTTAAGTTTGAATGTCCCAAGAGCAGATGAGCAAGTTTGCTTACTGTGCTTTGATATATATTTTTATTTTTCATTTACCTCTGTAACAAAACTTCAACAAATATCTAGATCTGTAAATGAACTTTTTAGCTGAATAATGAAAAGTTTTCAGTGATTGCTTTGCTTTCTTTTTTTTTTTTTTTTTAAATATGATATCAAACATATATATTGTGTGATGAGTAATTATATATGACTTTGTTATGTGATCACTCGTTGATTGCCTTAATCTTTTCCATATTTTTTGTAGACCTTCCATTTGGGTATAATCTTTTCCATACTGTTGTAGGCCTTCCTTTTATCATGTTGTGAACTTGAAGCTGAGTTCACAATTCATACATGAACCAAGTCTTTTGAACCTTCTTAGCCAAAAACAGGGATGTAAGCCCCAACTTTATATGAAATCATGGACCAATTTTCACCTACATAGATTAATATTTTCTCACTCAACATTAAAAAAAATTCACTTAGTCTTTTCCTTTCATTACATTCATAAGATAAATGGGCAAATTATTCTATGCGGACGCCGAACCCCCCAGAGACCAATCATAATACGACACATCACCTCCGCTCGGTACCGTGCTCAATATTGTTGATGTGGCGCATTCTGGTTAGTCTCCAGAAGATAAACTGCGTTCAACAGGCCACTTATTTTTACAGCATTAAATTTGTGTCATGAAATTTTGACAAATATTTTACCAAGAAACTCCATCTACTTTACAAAGGAAAACAGAAAGACCAATCTATGATCCACTTGGAGTAATAATAGCATTTAAGTCATATTAAATTAATAATACATGTTGTAAAGCAACATAGAACAAGTGTCATCTCCATACATTGAGCAACCGAACATACACATGTTAATTTTGGGCATTGCTCCATCGAAAAAAAAAAGAGAGAAAGAAGGCGAAAAATGTGAAAACAAAGAAATAATAGATTCAAAGATCGATAGAAGAGTGTCCAGTGTGATTAATTGGTTTGATAATATTGGAGCAGAATCACTTTGTGCCATCAGAGCTTGTGCTGTGACCGTCGACTAAAGCTGTTGTTTTACAAATAGGGCACAAGTTCTTTATCATTAGCCATTGCTTGATGCAAGCAGTGTGGAAGTCATGTCTGCAGTTCAGTGTACCAATGTCCTCTCCTTCACTGTAATCTTCCTGAATATCGAGTTTCAGAATAGAGTTAGAGAGAAGGTACAAAACAAATGAAACCATTACTGTAATCACAGATGGCTATAACTTTATCAACTAAAAATAGAATCTAGGGAGAGAAATTGAAGGTTGCTTTCGTGCTTGCCGTATTAAAGTTTGATCAACTGATTAGATCAATGATAGGCCGGCTCAAGTTGAACCGGCCCAGCCGGCTCGGGTCTACAGGAAGCAGACAAGTGTCGCCTCCTTTCTTGCTGCCCACATGGGGGGGTAAGGCTTGGGAGGGAATTTGTATTAAGAAAGTTTATGTATTAAAGAGGATGAGAGGTTCTAGGGCTAGGTTATGCATGATTTGAGTTTCTCTTGGAGTTCCTTGGTATTTTGGCTCTAGATTGCTTTGTCTAGAGATTGGGAGAGAACGATCCTCCTCTCGAATTGAGGATCACTTGTATCTTGCTTTGTGTTCATTTGACTTTGCTTTCCTTGTTGCAATACAACGTTTTGTGGCTGATTTTGGTACAGATTTAACGTTATTCTCGCTGTTTTCGCCAATTAGTGAAAGGTTTGCTTGCGAACTCAAGTATTTCCCTTAGGATTACTTGCGACCTAAGTATTTCCTATCAATCAATAAATACTCATCTTTTTTCCTTAGAGAACTTGAGAACAAAACAATAGATATTGATATGCAAATGCAGCTCACCCGACAAATACAGCAGGGCTCCTGTTCTAAAGATGCTACCTCCTGCTTAGAAGGTGAATATTTTCGTTGTTTTAGGCACTTCAAAATTGTCTGCTCACAGAGTCCTGTATTAACATAACCAATCCTCTCTTCGAGCGCCAATAGCTCCTGGAACACATCATAGTTAAATTGTATACTGTGAGAAAAATGTTAAGGATGCAGGAAAACTCACCTCGTAAGACATGTTGTCAACATCAAGACGCATGTCTCTGTGTCTGTCATTCAAGTCGACGCGCCCATAGAACCCTGGCTGATCAAACATGAAGACATCCTGCTCGATGCAGGACATATTAAGTATAGGGTTCTGATGCAAATGTAATAAAAGAATATGCTGAGAATTCTTCTTATGGCATTTTTTTTACCCGTTATCTAATACAAGATAGATGTGCAACTAGTCTTACAAAATTTGTTTGGTAGGTAAGCTAAACCAACAATCACTTGCTGCTATTGATGCAACAACAACATCAAGCCTTTATCCCACTACGTGGGGTCGGCAATTAGTAAAAATTTGGACTTGATGATCGCATGTAATAGGCGATGGATTCCTTGTCATAAAGAGGGATGCAAGTCAGACAAAACTAATGATATACACACATGCATCACTAAACATCAAATAATCAAACTACTCGATTTTTCTCATTCCTCTACACATCGATGAGGTTCAAGGGTAGAGGATTACTTTTTTGTAGAGCAATCAATACAAAATGAAGAAGGATGTATAATGTATTACCATACTATCTATTCATACATGCAACCAGATAGGAAAAGAACTGCATTATAAATTTAGAAGTTATAGATGAATAGTTTTACGCTTCAAACACACAAATACTATTATACATTCTTACAACATTGTGGGGGCAGGATGGTCTGACTCAACAATAGCAAGAACAATACGCATTCATGCTTGCAAAATGGCCAAGAAACAGGCATAAACCTGACTCATTTCAATACAAAAGCTATAATCATCTTATTAAAACATCACATCGTAGCAAAAGTGTCCATTAAAGCATCCAAGCATTCTTCAGAATGGTCTCAGATAAATAGCAGCGTCCCTCGGAAATTCATCAGGGATCACATTGGGACCAAGTATAATACTCTAATTTTTAATCTTAGGTTTATTTCATCAGCCAAATATCATTCTAAACAGTAGTGAGCATACAATATAGGAATTTTCAATAGCCAAGGAATGTAGGTTTAATGGAAAAAATCTTATGCCAGTACACCATGGTTGCTTAGAGAAGAACCGTGGAAAATGCAGATATGAACAAAAATGCATCTAGGAATTAAAGCAAAATAGTCAATGGCATGTTTCTCTGAAGTAACTGTGACGCAAGCAATAGTAAAGAGGGTATCGTTCCTGCTGCACAAGACTGAAGCAAAGCAAGCCCACAAATAGAAGTTGACCAATAATTACTCAAAGGAAATAAATAGTTTTTTTGGGAGGGATGCACCATGCACAAACAAAATACAGCACGATAATATTTTCAGATCAAAATCAACGATCAATTAAGCATTGAACAAACAATAATCAAAACTTGATATACTAATGATTGAGAAAGTCGTTAATGATTCTCTGATATATATTTTTTTTCGCGATGATAATTACCTCAAAACGCAAATTCACTCCCCTTCTCATAAGATCCAATGCATTGCGAATCTGCTACATAAACACATAAGAAACAAATGATCAATCATTTAATAGATAATATGACCTGGGTAGATTTGTAATGATGCTTCCTACAGTTATGGCAAAAAGAAAAGGGGTGATGATCTAAAAGTTTAATTCCCATAGAAAAGTAATGATCTGCAGTCAAGAGTAATTGCATTCAGCAGAATTCAGACATATATATCTATCCACATAGAACGTAGTCATAACAATAAAACGTCAAATTTAAAATTGAAACTTCGAATTTCACAAGATAGATCAGATTTTGACAATCAAAGTCCAGAAAAAGAGTGTGGTTTCCCGTCATCAATATTAAAAAATCTACAATTGGATGGCAAACCTACATTAGTAAACCATCAGAAAAACTAAAATAAACTTAGAAATTAAAGACATCTAAAAGGATTTCCAACACACCTCAGATAGCATTCTACTTCTCCCTTCTCGGCCCCTAACTGGCAACGGTAATGCTGAAAACCCACGCTGCCTATCTGTTGAAACTGCTGTCCTTGGATGTGGAAGGGATTGGCCTTGGCGAACAGCTCTAGAAGATTGACCAGTCTCCTGTGTGGAAGCAGCACAACCAGAATGCCACGAAGACAAAGTACCACTTTGATGTCCAGATTCAGATCCACCAGATGGAAACAAAGAATTACGTACAACGTCAGAAAAATTTCTGGGATACTGAACGGGAACCATTTCACTTGGTTCCCTGCTGGATCCTGGTAATGGAATGATACCTGAACTTGTGCTAACTCTATTCTCTGACGTACTCAAGTTGGAATTAGAAGGATTCCAGTTTAATGGATCCTGCACCAGTTGATTGACACTGGTTCTGGCAAAAAATGTCGGATGGTCAGCAACGCCATTTCTCGGAAAGTTTCTTATGTTTGCTTCCTCATGGGAAGCAATTAATCTCATTCTTCGTTGTATAACGGCTGGGATTGATGAACTACCCATTCTTGAACTGGCAGGAGAATGGCGAACATGATGATGCAAACCGGGAACAGGGAGCAAATGATGCTGGCTCTGCTCTGCTTGGTGAATAAAAGGATTTGGAACGGAAGATGGTTCACCAGCTGACCAAGTACTAGATAGGCTGTTACTACTCGTAGCAGAATGTGACTGATAGGGTGAGTTATCATGCTGGCATTGAAGATTAAGTCTCACCCGTAAATTCCTTTGTGAGGATTCAGCATTTCCAGTTAAGCTAGATAAGGGGTAGCATTCAGAAGAATCTCCTCCATGTATAGAGTTGAAACTTGGAATCCGATTTTCTCCTGAAGAGCATCCAGCAGATAGATACTTGGATGAGCTTGGTATGCTGAAGTCTCCAGCAATTTTTTGACTTGATGAAGATTCTCCAATAACTCCTTCTATGTTCTTCCTCTTAAGAGATGCACGGTGAGCGTCAACTGAATTTCTTGCTCTATCATAATGTTCTGAGACCTGTACAACACCACTAGATGAGTCCGCATTAGAATTTGAAGAAGGAACGCGCTCAGGTTCAAAGAATTCTGGAACGGAAGTACACAATGATACTTCCACATTGCCACCATGCTCTGCACTCTGATTCAAATTACTTGGACTCGGACTTTGAGTAAACGCCTGCCCATCATCAACTGGAGTATTATTAAGATTCAAGCCCACATTTTCCAATGACAGTACGTTGGTTCTCTCAGAACACCTTTCTTCAATCCTTGGGCTACTACCAGAATTTATTGAAAGAGCAGTATTCCTGTCATGAGCCATTTTAGTCTCATCAGGATTTTCCTGGTTCAAAGTAAATGCACCAGAATTAGGGTCTGGTGAATTCCAGATACCCAAAACCTCAGTGTCTTGAGGGGTCATGGCCATAAAATCCATGTCTGCATCATTTGAAGATAATAAATATTCCGCAAAGGTAGAGGTTTCCACAGAATCTAGAAGCAGATTACTTTGGTAAAATGGTTCATCCATGTCAAAGCTAGTTGAATTAGATCCACAGCCAAATTGAAGTGGGTCAGGTATTGCCTCAAAAGAATTACTTCGCTTTTGCTTCTAATTAATGTATGTGTACCTGTTCTGCGAATTAAGACAGATTGGATGGAAAAAGGCTTTTATAGATGCTTTGAAATTAAAAGTAAAAATTACTGCAAATCCTGCAACAGAAACATAAGGCATGTTTAATACCGTTAATTTAAAGGGGGATTTGCATGCAGAGCACTCATAATTATCCTATTTATCTAATTAACAACTAAACTTCATTATTTATATAATATAACCCTCTATTAACAGCCTTAACGAAACCCTTGACGATGAAGAGGAAGTCGCAGTAGATCTCAAGAAGTTCTCGCAAGATCAGAAAGTTGTGACATGATCTCGCTGGAAAAAGCCTCAACAAAAACCTGCTAGGGAAGATAATTCACGGGTCTGGCAGAGTATGCGCTTTGGCAAAGGGTGAAGGAACCAGCTGCATGTGAAAGACAATGAATTTGGTCGTCGCTAGCAAAGATCAATAGGACCAATAGTGTGCAAAAGAAGAGGAATTTGATGACAGGATTGTAACATCAAGGGTAAAGATGGTGTTATTTTTTTGTCATCTAAAATTTTGAGTGGTATGAGAGTAAACCAAATATAATGAAATAGAGGAGCTAAATATGTAAATGGGATAATTTTGATTGTCATGTAAATTCCCCCTAATTTAAAAAGGTCAAACCAAATATAGCACATATAATGTTCCAAAAAACATAGAAGCTAATCCCAAAATAAACGAGCAAAAATAGATTAAAGACATTATGAGTGCAAAAAGATACATTCAACATTATAATGTTAACATGCATGCAAAAGTCTATAACGGTATTTTTAATAAGTCAAATACTTAATTGTCAATTAACAATCTTATAAATAGTCTGATTCTCAGAGGATAATGACATGTTATTCGAAGCAAAGCTCACCAGGAAAACCAGGGACATATGGACAAGGCAAAGCCAAGCTTCATCCTAAGGGATAAAGCTACAACAAAGAGAAGAGCACTTCTCTCAGGCCATAAAGCAATGGACTTAAACTTCACAACTAAATCTTATTATTTTGAAACCTTATGCAAGTAATATTAAGAATTGTTATCTGAAATTGAAGATTTCATTATCCCAACAAGGGACATCAGTCCTCTTATCATCCGAACAAAATCTTGCTAACCATAAACCTAGTCAAGCAAGAACTTAAAGTAACAATCAGATTTTAAGACCAGCAATGAAGCTTAAAACAATAACTTAAAGATTAAGGATACAAGCATGATGAAGGCCGGGAAAAACTAGAAGACAAGCCTTTGTTGATAAAAGCAGTCATATTCCTTGCATGTACACACGGGCTATCTGGATTTGAAATAATGATCGTCCAAGTAAGAATTAGAAAGCCTAACTGCTGCTCTACTCATGCCATCGAGCTACTTAGGTGAGAGACATGCATTAAGGTTTGTGCAACTCAACAAAGATAAGACAATCTAGCAGATGAACTGAAGAGAAGAGAACATCAATTCTACAAGCACAGACATTCCAAACTTAACAAGTAAATGAATTTTTCTATGCAAACTAGTTTCGAAGGGCAAAATTATTGTGTATACAAAAAAAAAATGATTAAGTGAGGAAGCTGCAATCAAAAAGCTGGAACACCAGTCGATACTCATTTATAAGGCATTGTACAGTTATATAGGTTTATCTTTATCATTTTGCTTTCTAGCTACTTTATGTAAGTAAAAATGTAGCTTCATGCTAGTAAAATTTCACAAGCCATTCTACATAAGCTTCATGTGATATTGTTGCAAGTCGATATGATCATCTAAAAACCAAAAGATGGCCTTTTCAAGTGAAGTTATTCCCCATGGAAGAACTCAAAATAATTTGAATAGTTGAACTACCAAATCTTGAACTTCTTCTTGAAAAGAAAAGATTCAACAACAAAAATATAATTCATAAATAAGTTATCCATGTGAGGCATTTATTTTCGTATTCACATCATATCAAACATTTCTTCCTTCACAATCCTAAACATTTTCTAATAGAATAGTGATATTGATATATAAACCTTTGGATGTAGTCACCAAGACATGCATCCATCATGTGCACAAGGGGAAGCCACCTTCACGAAGAAGTGAAAGTTCATCCACCGTGTACCATTTTCATGACATCAGCGGTCATTCCAAGCATGCAGTGAAAGTCCTAGAATTGTCGCCCACTACATGTATACGCATGCATAGGCACAGCTACTCTTCACAAGGTTGCCCTGAAATAAGTATACACCAGAGCCAAGCAACCATGTGCAACATGTAATAAATTGGCACTAAGATTCATACACTGTAATTTATTCCCTAACTTTCAACTAACTCGTACAAAAACCAAAACTCAGAGAGAGAGAGAGAGAGAGAGAGAGATCAAATTTTTTATCTTGATTAAAACCCATAAGAGAGAGAGAAAAGGAAGAGAGGTAGAGAAGACGAAAAGGAGAAGAGTACATATATGAGATCACTGAATTGCCCAACATTGAGTAAAGCTTAAAATAAAAATTCCACAAATTTTGAGCCAAATCTAAATCAACATGAACATATAAGTGGAGTCTATAGCTTGGAAAAATGGCTTGAACTCAAATTCAAGTCAATTTTGAGTAGCTCGCTCATAATTTGACTCCAGCCAACTACATAAATAAGCTTAGTCGGCATTATATTTAAACAAATAGATTGTTGGCTCAGCTAGTTGTTTTTTCAAGCACAAGATCTTCGATTCAAATCTTCCCTTCATCTCTCTTTTGCTTTTAATTTTGAGACAGTTAGAGCTAATTTCAAACCTGCTAGGAACTCTATCCATTTCAATTTTGAAAATATTGAACTCAAAAGATATCAATTCTGACTTGAGTTTGAGTCAAACCAAACTCCATGAATTATGAGTTTGATTTTGGGAAAATTCACACGTGCTCAAGTTGAGATCCAGCCTACGCATAAATTTATTTAATGAAGTCAATTGGTTTGGAAAGCATAAATCATTTCAAGTTTACCAAGCTTAGAAGTTGTTTGATTGCATGCATGAAAAAGTGGGAAGAGAGGAGTAAAAGGAAGTGGACAACTTCAGTTATCTGATTGAAATTATAAGCAAAAGAAGTCATAAGAAAAATTCTTACCCATTTATTTTTGGGCTTATGCTCTGAAATCATTTCCATATACAAATACATTCATACAAAAAATAGCATAATTTATTATATAATATAATATTTTAGATTTGTATACATAATACTAACAACTAACGCACCACTTCTTTGTACGGCGTATAAATATATATAACATAATGTAATAGTATAATAATTTTTATTAATTCCTTATATGTACATAATATTTATATTATACTTGTTGCGTGCTGGAATATGCACGGCGGTAGAGAAATATATAGTTTAATGTCTTAGCATTGTACGAAGATCCAACACACAAGCAGATAAGAGAGAGAGGGAGTAGCGTTCATTAGAGACACCAGAGTTTTTACGTGGAAACCCCTAAAAAGGGGGAAAAACCATGGGTTCGACCCAGTTTGAATGAATCCACTAGAAATTTGGAGTCAATTACAAATAAGGGCCTTCCTTCAGAGAAGGCCTTGGCTTGATGTCATAAATGTACATCATATATAGCACATTACATGGTGAGAGTTACAATAATCAACATAGACATGTTTGTTTGGTAAGTAGGACCATAGTTGATAAGATAGAGGCTGGAAAGACCGTATTTAGCAGAAGACCGGGGTCAGAAAGTCCGTTGTCTGGTGATGGAGGTCGGAATGACCATAGCAGACGGCGGAGGTCGGAAGGACCGTAGTCGACAGAAGACAGGGGTCTGAAAGACCGTAGTTGGCAAGAGACCAGAGTCTGAAAGACCGTAATTGTAGGGAGGTACTCTGATAGAACTCTGGGCATCAGGTGATGCCCAACAGAAGTCCGGGCCTAAAGTGGTGGTCTGGAAGAAGTCCAGACCTCAGGTGGTGGTCCGGCAGAAGTTCAGGCCTTAGGTGGTGGTCTAGCAAAACTTTGGGCGTCAGGTGGGGGTTCGGCATAACTCCGGGCGTCATGTGGTGGTTCGGTAGAAGTCCGGACCTCAGGTGGTGGTCCGGGAGAAGTCTGGGCCTCAAGTGGTGGTTCGACAGAAGTCTGGGCCTCAGGTGGTGGTCCGGCTGAACTCCGGGCATCATGTGGTAGTCCGGCAGAACTCTGGGCGTCAGGTGGCGGTCCGATAGAAGTCCGGGCCTCAAATGGTGGTTCGGTAGAAGTCTGAGCCTCAAGTGGTGGTCTGGCAGAACTCCGGACGCCAGGTGGTGGTCCGGCAGAACCCAAGGCCTCAAGTGGTGATTCGGCGGAGCACAGGGCTTCATGTAGTGGTCCAGCGGAGCTCAGGACCTAAAGTAGTGGTCCGGCGGAGCTCAGGGCCTCAAGTGGTGGTCCAGCGGAACTCAGGGCCTCAAGTGTGGTCCGGCGGAGCTCAGGGCATCAGGTGGTAGTCCGGCAGTCAATGCGTCAGGCGATGGTCCGACGGAGGTGAGGGCCTCAAGTGGTGGTCAGATGGAGGTGAGGGCCTCAAGTGATGGTCCGACGGAGGTGAGGGCCTAAGGTGGTGGTCCGACAAAGCAACGACGTCAGTCAGTGGTCCGGCGGAGGTGAGGGCCTCAAGTTGTGGTCCGGCGGAGCTTAGGAGCTCAGGCGGTGGTCGAGGAGGAGCTTCTTCCTTCTCTTCTTGCTCCGGTCCCCCACTTTTCAAGAGAAATGAGGGGTCTATTTATAGATTTTTGGAGTGACATGGCCCGTAAATAGGTAAGAGATCAAGGGTAAATGGGGAGTGGTTGGATGGACGGACGATGTTGAATCCCTTAATCATGGATCATTTGATGGACATTTGAATGTCTTAGTGATGTCAGATTTTGTGATCTTAGGCTCATTAGATTTGTCTCGTCGAGCCGCTCGATTCGACTATAAGCACGTTATGTTTGGAAACCGTTTGGTAATCCAAATTATGGTTCGAACCTTCCAGCAGCGCTTCTATCCCTTGATTTGGACCCGTT